AGCCCTGAAACCTATCCACACAATTCAGTGTATGTGCTGGCATTAGCCAATAGTGTCCAACATAGGGAACTTACAAGTATTATGAAACTGGACTCATTTGGGGTGATCTTCAGCAAGAGATCAAAATACCACCAAGAAACAAAAAAAACAGTTATGCCACATTCTCATATTTGAAAAAGATTTTTTAAATATAATATCTACATAAGTTATTTCTAACCCTGGGGAAAGGCTTGATTAAATGTTTGAAGTGTACTTTCACCCAATCAAGACTGTTGTCATAGAAGATGTAATATAAGCACCTACACACTCACCAGCACAGCCACATTAGTGGTGCATGAAGCTCCCTCTGAGAGCCACATGAACTCCATCTCTGTCATTTCCTATAGTAGCAAATTTTCATACAGAGCTGCTTCCCATGCATGCCTTACACTTCTATGGTTAAGTGTATTTAGAAATGCTAGACCCTATGTAACCTATAAGCCCCACCTGCCCAAAGACCAGCTAACTTCCTGGAATGCTATGAGTTGTAGTTCAATGTTAGACCCTATGTAACCTATAAGCCCCACCTGCCCAAAGACCAGCTAACTTCCTGGAATGCTAGGAGTTGTAGTTCAATATTAGACCTTATGTAACCTATAAGCCCCACCTGCCCAAAGACCAGCTAACTTCCTGGAATGCTAGGAGTTATAGTTCAATATTAGACCTTATGTAACCTATAAGCCCCACCTGCCCAAAGACCAGGTAACTTTCTGGAATGCTAGGAGTTGTAGTTCAATGTTAGACCTTATGTAACCTATAAGCCCCATCTGCCCAAAGACCAGGTAACTTTCTGAAATGCTGGGAGTTCTTGGAAAATAACAACAAAGCCTCATGAGAAAGTACCATGGCCTATGGGTTTTATCAATATAAGTTCCCCCGCCCCACCTACCTACACACACACACACACACACACACACACACACACACACACACACACACAAAACACATGCCTCAAAGCCATTCAGCTGGAAAGTTTCCAAGTGATAGTCCTGACCAAAGTCCATCTTGGTCAATATTTCACATTTTAATAAAAGCCTGCTTTAATTTGGCCAAAATGGTGGAACTGGTTTGTCTCTGGCAAATTTCAGGGTTAACAAAAAGAGCAGAAATCTGTTGTATACTTTTACATTTTATAATGTAAATGCTGCCTTCTCTCTGGGACTTGTCCATCACAGTATTAGTCTCAATATCTAACCTGTTATATAGTACTCCTCTGCATAGTTCTTCCAACAGCATGATTTTGATAGACTGCTGGGTGAGAAGGAAATAGAGTGTGGTAACTTAAGTTCCAAGGAAATGGGAGGAAAGAATGGCTCTGAGAATCAGGGAACCAAAGCCTCCATTGAATTGAAAAGAGAAACTCAAATCCACCTAATACAGCAGTCTGGAGCAGAGATAAGATTTGAGGCCTTAAAGAAGATTAGAGTACTGGAAAGCCTCAGGGGAAACTTAGCAGAGGTCACTTTTTATCTAGTAACATCTTGCCTAGAAGGTAGCTCCCTGCTTTTCCTGCCTCTTGCTCTTTGCACTAGAGAATAAAGGTCTTAATCATCTCTTCCACCTTTAAAACTTTATATAAGGCCACATAGTCTTCATGTTGGCTCTCATCGAAATGATTGCAAGCAAAATATTAGAGGAGATGGGAATTATATTTTCTAGAAAATACCATTTGCTTTTATGATCTCCCAATCATGAGGAAGCATATTATCTTTTATTTATGAAAATTTTATTTTTAAATGTAGCATATGTGTGCTTCTAGGACTGCATAGATAAAAGTTATTTTTTAGCTTATTCACAACAACACTCAAAAATTACAAACAAAGCTAACAAATCCTATCAGTTTCAAAGTGATGGTAATGCAATTTTAAAGTAACAAACACCTTCAAGATAACACAAATTAGAAGCAGCAGACACTTCAGACTAAAGTGACCTCTTCTGAGGGCACAGCCCCTCTGACAGGTTCAGTCAGTGGCTTTGGGAGCAGGGACCCTAAGGCCTATGCTGAGGCCTGAGCAGTTTGCTAACATGGAAAGTGAGGGACTCACCCCAGCAGCAGGAGGGGCGGGGGCTGGGGAGACCCAGTCTTCCTGCAGAAGAGCAAAGGAGTTGAAAGCATCCCTAGGAGGCATTTCTGCAGTAAACAGGGTGACAGGCGCTGGTAGAACAGTCACGGCCTGTGACAAGACTGAGGCCAGCACCTAACAAGGCTACGCTGTCCTCCTTCATGAGCTTCCTCCGAAAATGAACCTGGCACTATTTTTTTTTAAAAGCATCTCTTTTTCTCGGTGTCATGAAGGACCATGCACGCACAGAGGCATTAATTACTGGCCTTCGGTGTGGCATCCACCGAGGACACTGAGGGCCATGGGCTTCTGAACAGCCACATCAGGCATTGTTAATTCTTTGAGGGTAACTGTAGCAAATATAAAATTATGTTTATTTGGGGGGTTGATTCATTTGGAAATATTGATTTTCACAAAATTCACTGAAATAGGTCGCTTTGTGTTGACTGGTCTGCTGTGCTTCATTCTACCACCAATAAATCAACCGATTTTTATTACAGAGGGGACTTCTAGATAATTCCCAGAACAGGCTCCAAATACACTTATTTCACTATCTCTTTTTTATTATTAATGATTCCGTTTTCTCAAGTGAAGAAAAACATATTTTCTTTCTCTATCATGTGTTTTCACATCATTCAGGGCCATGAGCTAAACATTAACAGAACTGAGACTTCACTGTGAAAGTAATATATGAATCTTACATAGACAGAATGGATTTAATTTCATAATTTGTATGGGCTTCTGGTAGTCACTGGGAATATAGACTAACAAATCTAAGGAGAATTACTACAAAGCCCCAAAGGAAATCTGACCAAAGTTCTAAGGATTTTCAAATAAAGTACAGGAGAAAAATCCAGGGTGTTTAAGAACTAAAAAAAAAAAAATTATAGAGAAAATAAGATGGTTTGCCTACGAAGAGATCTCACATAGTTTTTCTACTTTTCTTACCTCTGGTTTCTCATTATGAAGAGAAATAGCGAAAGTTGGAGTTTGGGGAACAGGCATGTGACCATGACACAGAAAAAGAAAGCATTTAATCCCAAGGGCACTTCCTAAGGAAGGACCCAAGCCATTAACCTCCAGCCAGGAAGTGAGGCGAGGAGCAGAGACAGCTGAGGAAAAGTTTGCAGGAAAAATGACTGGTTGTCCACCTGGCAGTCTAAACTTGTTTCAAAAAGAAAAAGGAAAAGAAAAAAATGGAAACAAAGTGGTCTCCAGAGCGAGTTCTAGGACAGCCTGGTCTCCAGAGTGAGGTCTAGGACAGCCTGGTCTCCAGAGCGAGTTCTAGGCCAGACTGGTCTCCAGAGTGAGTTCTAGGACAGCCTGGTCTACAGAGCGAGTTCTAGGACAGCCAGGGCTACAGAGCGAGTTCTAGGACAGTCTGGTCTACAGAGCGAGTTGTGGGACAGCCAGGGCTACAGAGCGAGTTCTAGGCCAGCCTGGTCTACAGAGCAAGTTCTAGGTCAGCCTGGTCTACAGAGCAAGTTCTAGGACAGCCTGGTCTACAGAGCAAGTTCTAGGACAGCCAGGGCTACAGAGCGAGTTCTAAGACAGCCAGGGCTACACAGAGAAACCCTGGCTCAAAATAGATAAACAAATTAGTGAAATTGATTTCATTAAAAAGCAAATAAAATGTTTGCACATGATGCTGTTTAGGTTCCTAGATACAAAGACTGGCACATAAAAAAAAAATTTTCACCCAGAAGGTGACAGTAGTCCCCCTATAATTTTTTATTACTCCATAGTGGAATTAGCGAATCTTATTTTAAATATTCCTTGTATCTTATATTACTAAATATCTTAAAAATTAAAAAAAATTTAAGAGGAACTGTACCATAGACTTCTTCAACACACACCAACCAGAAAAATCCAAAGAGTTCAAATTCAGCCCTTACATAGTGCTGCTCACGGTACGAGAGCTACGCTAGAGGTAGTGAATGGAGTATTATAGGACAATTTCACTCCAGAAATGGCAAGTGAATACAATTATTTTTTTTTGTGCAAGTATATAATTGACTTAAAGTGGAGACACACTACCAAGAAATCAAGTCAAGGTCTGCACATCTATTATTTGAATACAAGAATATTTTTTTAAAGGTTTATTTATTTATTATGTATATGGAAGAGGGTGCCAGATCTCATTACAGATGGTTGTGAGCCACCATGTGGGTGCTGGGAATTGAACTCAGGACCTCTGGAAGAGCAGTCAGTGCTCTTAACCTCTGAGCCATCTCTCCAGCCCGAATACAAGAATATTACATGTACCCTTTTTTTTTTTTTTTTTTTTTTTTTTTTCCCTTTGGTTTTTCAAGACAGGGTTTCTTTGTGTAGCTTTGTGCCTTTCCTGGATCTCGCTCTGTAGACCAGGCTGGCCTCGAACTCACAGAGATCCGTCAGCCTCTGCCTCCCGAGTGCTGGGATTAAAGGCGTGCTCCACCACTGCCCGGTTACATGTACCCTTTCAATAAGACCTGGCTCTAACAGCAGGAAGTGTAACTGACTCAAAGACTTCATCCATTCAAGTGCAAAAATTCCATAATATAAAGAACAACCATAGATTGACAATTATTAACTCCTGGTTAAGGTTACCTTGCATTATCTGCAGATTAAATCACTTTTTTTTTTCCTTGGCTATATAATGGCATTTTTAAAACTTAAGATTCTCCTAGGATTTAGTAAGCATTTGAATTTATAATGCCCACAAACAGATCCAGCAAATTATAATGAGATCATTACATTACTCTTTAACTTTTATAAATAAATTCATGTTGTTTTGTTTTGTTGATTGGGTAGCTCATCATTAATTTTTTAATCGCCATCAAAGCCCAACAATTCAGATAGTGATCACATTACAAACCAGGGAAAAAGAGAGTGAGGAAAGTGAGTCCTTCTACTTACAGGCTTCCTCTTCGGGGGAGGCTCAGCTCCTTCTGCAAAAGAAAAGAGAAAACACACATGGGAGATGCCGCACCAGCTGAAATCATCAGGACACCAAGTCACACGTTTGGACATTCTTTATCAGACTTGACTTGGCTCTGTTAAGACACTAAAGACTTTGATGACATAATTTTATGTCAGATCCCTCCCAACACTGCTCTTGTTACACAAGAAAAGAGGTCTGAAGGGGCAGTTTAGACTATAAACAGTTTATCTGATTTTGAAGCATAAAACCATTGGACCTTCAAAAAGCAACTTGAGTAAAATACTGAGGTGAGTACTATTGTCCTGTAACTGAGCAAAGTCGGAAGAACCGGGGGACCTACCAAGACAAGAAATATATAGAAGCAGGAGAAAGTTCAGAGGATTATAATTAAATGAAAGGTGAAGTGAAAAGGGCAATTAAATCAGATTATTAAATCAGGCCAACTTACCCTCCAAGGAAACAAATTCCGGCAAAATACTATGCATACCAAATATTACACTTTGTTATTTTAAAGGGAGCCTGCAAAGGGTTTTCTTCCGGAATTACTTCTCAAAACAAATGGCATTTATTACTTAGGTATTGAAAAGTAGGTTAATGAACCTCTAAAAGGTAGCCAGACAGCCACAATTACCAGAGTGTTGATACTTCTAAAGTATGCTCTCACATTTATCTCAAATTAAGATCATTATCTACAGAATCATAGAGAGGCAAAGAAAAAAAAAAAAAAAAAAGAACCAGGCAAGTAAGCAAGGAAACCACACAACCACACACAAAATCCTGACTCAGAAGTACTTCCACCCACTACAGGAGGTCTAGAGGCCCCACTTTTGAAGGAGGATTACTTGATAGCAATAATTAAAGAATAGGAAGCCGTGAGTCAGCAACTGACTTAAACTCAAAATTCACTACACTACAAATTTAGAAGAGTCTAAATTTGGTCATTCATCCTCAGAATTCTCATTTATTTGGCGTCCTCCAGAAGCTCAGCATTCTCTTTGCAAAGGTATTTCCTCCGGCTTCACACCCACCTTGTCTGTCCTCTATTTCTATTGGCTCCTGGATGTTTGTCCAGGACAAGGGCCTCAGACATCACTTCTAAATAGTGCAATTTACTGTAGCACAGCCTACAGAAAACGGCCTTGAGGGCAGAGGAGAGGCCAGGGAAGATGTGTGACATGGGCTTTAGACATGAAGGTGTGTCCCTATGGAATTACCATCCATATCTCTGGTATTTTGAGAAAGGAAGCACCCTCCTCCCACACAACCAACAATTTCTGTTTGTTTTTACATTTTCCCCCATTAAATCCTTGATTGTCCCCCCAAGAAATTATAGTGTTTGCTAACGCTGACTTCTTGTTTCTGAAAGGGAAATGCCCCTTCATTAACCGATGACCACAAGTGTCTTTAACCAGGATAGTCTCCTCAGGGGCTGAAATGCACACAGAAAACCAATGAGCAACTTTCTGTATATGAATCGTTGATTAAGCAAACACTAGAAATGAGTTTTGTATTTGGGCTCCCCCTGCCTCACAGGACTCTCTAAAAGTCATACTTCATCAGATTGTGTCTCTTAGGAAAGAACTGAGATTCCTCACACAGCAAAAGGCCTAGAGTGCAGCAAGTCACCATTGTTGTGGCAGAAACTTAGAGGGCATAGATGATACCAGAGGCGTTATTAGTAAGAGCAAGCAAGTAATAAATCAGATGGTACATCAACTACATATGCAATAGAAGACCTGGAAGACGGAAGAGGAAAAGGGCCAAGTGGGTAACCATGGTTCAATCAACCATATTCCCTGAAATGACCCGATCATAAACTGGCTGTTTTGGCTCTTGGAAAAAGCTGCTGAAATAGCAAGATAAGGGGATAAAAGCCGACCCTGTTTTTAATCAGAAGCCTTGCCAATGGGCCTGGAATTACGAGTTCTAAATAAGCAGAAAGGTTATAGTGGCCCACACAGCTCCCCTGCCCCACAGGATGGAGCCTGAGCTTCCAACATGAGGAACGGGGGACATTTCACACAGGCCACTGTCAGCTGACCTGAAGCCACCATGCTAACTGAACTGAAGGAGCTAATCCACCTGTCGGCTTGAATGTCAGGCTCGGGATGGGAAACTCAATTTGGTAGCAAATTGGAATCAGATGTGATGGTAATAAAGTGAGAGAAATGGATGTGCCTTGGCCAAGACCTTGTGAACAGTGGCTGCCCGAGTCTGCAAATACCAGGGGGGTCAGCAATTGCAGGCTGAGCAGGGAGCAGCTACTGCCCTAATGTACGGAGCCTACGTGCTAATAAATCAGCACAGGTCGGACATAAACGAACAGCATCAAGGCATTTTACTGCCTAAGCCCCCATGGTCCTCCATGTATGTGTCTTCATTTGATTTCCTTAATGTCAGCATAAGGTCACTAACACATACTTAGAAAATTAGATAAGATGCGTGGTATTGGCCCAGGCCATAAACCAAAGCTAGAATTTGGTATATAGGGAATATGTGTTAAAAGCTGTATTAAGTAAGAACTGGAAGTGGGAGAAAGTGGGATATAAAGGAAATGAAGGGGCAAGAAGCATCTATCTCAACTAAATATGTTTATTAATTATTCCAGATTAAGAACATATTTTAAAAGATTAAAGTTCTAAAAAATTATTTTTGTGGATACCGATTACTCAGTGACTTTGTTTAGGCTTGTTTTTGTTTGTTTATTTGGTTGGTTTGTTTTGAGATAGGGTCTGGGGTTGTAGCCCAGGCTGGCAATCCTCCTGCTCAGCCTCTCAAGCGCTGGGATTATAGGCCATGAGCCACCACACTTGTTCTCGGGGGCTTAGCATATTTTAGAATGCTAGTTATCACTATTTTTTTCATCCGTTCCTTATTCCCTTTCTAAGAATGTTAAATAGATATGGTGAAAATGAGTATGAAGTACAAATAATCTTTTCTGAGACTTGACTTGTCTTGAGATCTCTTGATAAGATGGAGAGTGGGAATGCACAATGTGCATACACATAACCCCAGGACTAAGAAGGATGGGAGGATGGGGAATGAGGATGTCTTGATCCACACTGGGCTACAGCAAAACCCCTACTTCAAAGAGAGAGAGAGGACAGAGAGAGACAGAGGCAGAGACAGAGAAAAGGCTGACAGACTGAGTATACCAAAATGTCCTCAAATTTAAGAAGAGAAGCCATGCAGAATTCAGGATGACAGGAGAAGTCCAGTGAGTGAGTGTAAAGCCCGTACCAGCCAACTGTGGCCTCTAATGGGGGAGGGGGGGAGGGGAATGGCTTGCTATGCTCATGAAGACAGCAAACTGCAATGTTATATATGTCTAAGAAGTTCTCATAGGTGTAATTTAAAAAAAAAACATTTATAGCGTTAAAGTTTTGGGCAGCTATCTATACACAAAGTAACACCACTAAACACCCCACATGTATTTAGAAAATTTCTGAACTATTCTTTTAAGAGATCAGTAAATTGATGCCATGCTAGTAAATGGAGATATGCAGGGATCCAAGTGGTATTGTAGACTACCCCCTCCACCAAGTGTCAGCACTCAATTCACCTTCTCTTGGTGGGGGGGCTAGATTTAATGACTCTAGTGACTCCCTCCCAGGAGCATCTGGCAGACACCTCCTTGACCAAACAATCATTCAGCATCACAGGGGCAGGCCTTGCTGACATCAAATACCCTCTGATTGAGGATAAGATCACTTCACACTTTGGTTGTCTTCCTAAAATTCCATAACTCAACTCCATTGTCCTTTTGAAAAAGCATCATGCACTCATAAAGAGAGCTATCCCAATGCCTGTAAAACAAAGCTCAGAAAAATGTAAGGGAATGGAAAAGAAACCCCCAGAGATCAGAGAACACTAATGAAGCAGGATGGCTACATGTATTGTAGACTCTTGGCTTGGATCCTGGATCAAGAATGTTAGTTCACAGCCCAGTGATAAAAACACAGTTGAGCAGGGTGCAGGATGAAGTCACCAAGGATTTAATCCCAGCACTTAGGAGCCAGAGGCAGGTGAATATGAGTTCCAGGCCAGTCAGAGCTATGCAGTGAGACCCTGACTTCAAAAACCAACCAACAAACTTACGTCTGTAGTTGACTTTTTTTTTTGGTTTGGTTTGGTTTTTTGAGACAGAGTTTCTCTGTGTAGTTTTGGTGTCTGTCTTGGATCTTGCTCTGTAGACCAGGCTGGCCTCAAACCCACAGAGATCCGCCTCCCAAGTGCTGGGATTAAAGGCCATGTGCCACCACCTCCCGGCTCGTGGTTGAGTTTTTAGCAAAGCACCAGTGTAACTTTCCTAGTCCTGACAACTATATTAAGGTTATGTACCATGCTATGTTGGCATTTGAGAGAGCTGGAAAAAGGACAGACAGGAATTCTCTGAACTGTCATCTTCTATAATTCTAAAATTATCCGCCCCCCATATACACGTAAATTAGATGGGGGATAATGGGGATGGTAGAGGAAAGGATGAACAAGTAATTATTAAAATGCTCAAGCTTGTTTGAAGGCTTTATTTAATCCTATGATTTATAAAGCTACAGACATGGTCTAAGTGAGAGAAGACTGTGTAGAACTGGCAATGAAGAGGCATGAGGTACTTACATATGAAGAAGGTGTCTACACTGTACGAAAGAGCTGGATGTGGGCCATAAAAGGAAACATACAGAGGAGTCAAAATTAGGAGCCCTAGGTACACAGTGTTTGATGGAAGAGAAGCTCGGCATCAATGTGTGATCAAGACTGTCCATGTGGGGCTATCACACTGAAGTGTCTGCAGAGGAAGATGGATGGATGAATCTGGGTTCAAGAAAGGGGCTGGAACTAGAGACAGGCTGCGGAATCCTCAGCACATACGATGGTACAGAGAGCAATAAGCCTGGGGTGGAGAGGGCCGGTAAGAGAGAAGAGTCGGAAGAAGCAGGTGAGATGGACAGGACACAGTCCCATGGAGAAGCATGAAGGAGGTCCCACACTAGCAGAAGCTGGGTCTCT